GGCAAAGCCCAGAGCAGCAGTCAGTCTTCTTGTTTCCAGTGGCCTAGCCCCTGCTGTTCTAGCCATTTGAGAAGTGAATTAGTACCTAGGTATTATCGTCTTATCTTTCTTTACCTTTATTTCACAAAAAGTACAGCAAATAAAATAACCAAACATTTTGTAAAGAACATGAATTGAATTATTTGGCAGGTATTTAATAGACTGAAGATCAAAAAAATTTGGACAATTTCTTTTCCTAAATTCTGTTATCTAAAACACAATACCACACACAGATAACATTGAAAGAAACTCAAATTTGCCATCTCAAATTGTTGTTCATATCCTAAGACATACTAGATCTGCACTTGCCTCTTGCAGATATCTCTGCCTAAAGTAGAATAAATTCTGCAATCAACACCATAACAGTTAATACAAAGCATGATTAAGCAATGTTTATACTTCTCAACTATACTTAACACCACCAATCATCCTTCTCATTTAAATCATATTGCTTAAGCTTGTGTGATGTGACATTGTTCCAATTTCTTCTTTTCCCAGGCATATTCTTCTTATTTTCGTCTTTGTTTTTTATCAATTAAATTTTAAGAAAATCCGTTTGATATTTTGAAGTTTCATCGCCCTCATTGTTGTATATTTTCTTTTTGTTTTCAGCACTTCAATCTGTATAAGCAATATCTTTTTCCGCTCAGTGTTTACAAAAGCCATCAGTTACCACTCTCCTTCCCTTTTCTTTTGGCCACCAACCAATAGATCTTATTGTTTTACCACAGGGCAATTGATGAAATGATCATATTCTCTTTTTCTATTCACGTAATTCCTTACCCAGAAAATGAAAAAACCATTATTTCTGAGTGAAAATCTTTCTGATTCCATGGAATGAGTTATTTATTCCCCTATTACTTCGTTACTATTTAAATCTATAAATAACTTTGTATTTAATTTTCTTCTGTGCTTGATTTCTGCCAAAAAAAATTTGTGAAAGCAATGAGAATAGGTACTACCTTTCTTTTAGTTGTTATGTTGCTCCAAACACATAACAGCATTAGGAAAATATAACAGTATATTAGTACATAATTGCAATATTCTAAAACACCAATGGAGAGAGCTGGGAAACCAATGAAACTGAAATATACAGACTGCTTTGTAGATAATCCCATCTTCTAAAAATACATTCACTTATTTAGACATAACAGATAGAGTACTACTGAATCTAGGAAAAAATGATACCTTGTTGGCATCTAAGCCAAAATAGCTCTTACATAATGACAACTATATTCTCACAAATTATTTCCATGCATTCCACATATTTATTTGAAAGGGTGAGAGCAAGAGAGGGAGCTGATGCATATATAAATTTACATCTCCCACAAAGGTACAAGAGACCCAGGCACTCAAACCATTGACTTGCATTTGCCCTGGAACGTTAGAAACAAACTGAATTGAAAGCAGAGCAGTGTGGTCACAAATCCAAGTGGTACCACGTCAAATAACTGATGTTAATTGCTACATCAAAAACTCAGGTGAGATTTAAATGGAAAATAGAGCCTTGGTTTAATTGAACGCAAATAATGGTCTGTATTTGTGGGTTTTAAAATTATATTTAGTTTTATTTGAACAAGAGAAGGTTCCCAGTTCTGTATTACCCTGGCAGTACTTAAGCAAAAAGTCATAATCAAGAACCATCCCAGGCAATGGAGTGTAAAAGCAAACCATCCCAACCAATGGTTTGAAAACTGTATTAAATATTAGTCCTTACATTGCTTGTTAAAATATTTTAAAATTTTTAATTGAAAGGCAAGTTTATAGACAAAGGAGACACACACATATATGTACAGATAGAGAGAAAGAAAGGGACAGATTGAATCTTCCTTCCATCTGTTAATTTATCTCTCTCTCTTTCTCTCTCTCTCTCTCTCTCTCTCTCTCTCTCTCTTTCCAAATGGCCACAACATCTGGAGCTGGGCTAGTTTGAAGCCAGGATCCTGGTGCTTCTCTGAGGTCTCCCATGTGGATGCACAGACCCAAGGATTTGGACCACTCTCCATTGTTTTCTCATGTACAGTAACAGTATGAAGTATCTGAAGTAGAGCAGCTGAGTCTTGAACACATGTTCATAGGGGACGCTGGAACTGCAGGTGGAACCTTAACCTACTATGCCAACAGCACTGGCCCATTTATATTGCTTTTGAAAATGATATTTGTGCTTTTTTGTAGTATATCTATTTTATTTCTTCCATTGCACTGATGTGCAGTGGTTAAATCTTCATTTACATTACACTATTTAATAAACAGATTGTAACTGCACTCTTGTCAAACATCAGTTCAGTGTGAAATATGCTAGGCTAAGCTATGTGACAGTGTTTGTATCAGCACCATGTTGTTCTTATTACTGTAGTCTTAAAGTATGCTCTAAAGTCAGGTGTTATGGTGACTCCAGGTTAATTTTTAGTTTCTCAGAATGACTTTAGGTATCGTGGTTCTTTTGTGACTACATGTGAACTCTAGAATCGCTAATTCCTATTTCTGCAAAATGATTGGTATTTTATAGAAATTTATCAAATCTGTAGATTGCTTTAGGCAACATAGACATTTTGTTGGTGTTTATCAGAATCGCAAAACTTAGAGTTTGGTCAATCTTTGATAATACTATTAAAAATATTATAAACTAATAGTTTTAATGAACCATAACTATTTTTTCCCAAGTTTTTTGGATACTAATTAAATTGGTATTTTTATTTTATTATTGCTCATAAGACTTGCTATATTCCTGCTGAAATATGGTCTTTTCACTTTTTCATTCTCAAACTCTTTATTTAGCAGAAGATTGACCTTTAAATTATTACATTAATAAAAATAAGTTGTCTTTTTAAAAAGGGAGAGATAGAAGCAATAGAAAGAAAATGCTGGAGTGAGAACAAGAAACACCATTATATTCTGATAATTGTATCTAAGAATACCAGTAAATCTGACCAGAACAGTTAATTGCAAGCTTTAGTATCTATATAACATTTTGCCAAATATTTATAGTTGATAAAAACCATGGACCAAGTATGAGTCTTGGGGATCAACACTTCAATAACTTTTCCAAACCAAATACGCATAGCTCCAGAGTATATGGTATTTTGGTTATCCTGCTTTAAAGCACAGTAAATCTCAAAAGTATTTTTAATAGTCTGGATATATTCAATACATTTAACGTAACTTCATTCTGCATGCACTAATTTGCTTTAAGACAGTGTCATCAGCAACATGAGTATTTTCTGTGTTTCTGTATTTGAAGCCCTAGGAAGGAATCTTGAAGCAAAAACTTTAACTGTATCCAGAAGATTTTTCCTCCCATCTAATCACTAGGAAATATTTTAGAGAGTTATAAAATAAAAATAAGATTTAAAAAAATCTGAATCTACTGACAAGTTAGAAATCTGGACACATCAAATTGTACCTCATCTACTCTTGACCAGGCTGAGCTGTGAGTTATAAAAAGAATCCAGAGTTAATCCCCTGATTAGCCTACTGAATTTCTGTAAAATTGCCACTTGACATGCAAATACCAGGACTCTCTCAGCTTACATGTGAAATTTATAACAACAATCTTTATCTCTAAACACGATGGCTTTCCAAATTATTTGGCAATATTAATTAGCACCAACAAATGAAAAAAAAACTGTCTTACCACCAAGTAAAATCTCAAAAGCAGACACTTTAAATGTGTGAGAGAGATGATTGAGATTAATTTCTGATTGCTTAACTTTGCTTTCCAATCATGGCCTTGTCTGCCCTGATGTAATTGCACTTCTATACATCTAAACTTTTGAGAATTAGTTATACAAGTAACTTTTGGAAGAGAAAGCTTATCTGTCTTATTTATATCTATTTTTTAAAAAAGTTCCAAAATTTTACTGATATTCTTAATAAAAACAAAGTGTACCATTCATCCGGTTGATATATCAACATCTCTTTTACATGCCTCATATTCACCATTTCGTTATTGTCCCAGTGAGCCAGAGGAATGCATATGCTTTAAGTTGCATGCTTGTGATTTTGGGTCATGTAAGAGCTATCATTCAGCTTCATGAACGTTAAAATTGTAATATTGCTTAAACTGTTCAAGCAACAGACCACACGTGGTGTAACAGGCACTAAATACAAGCTATCTACAATGCTTTGTAATTAAAGGAAATTTCCACTTTCATCCACTTTATACTTATTTTAGGTCATTGATTAGATTAAATTTCAAAACAATAGCACACAGCTTATTAAACATTACTGGATCGCAAAGTAAATGAAGAAATATGTCATTTCATTAAATTTTAAAATCTTTCTTATGGATGTGTTTGGGAAGTGGTAAAAACTGGAAATATTTGGAAAATGATTCATGCATTTCAGGCATGTGTATCTAAATTACACACACTGTTCACGGTTTGCTTTTCTAACCAGTGAATTATGTCTCTTATTTTTCCGTAAACGTAAGTAAAGCTGAATACACACAGGCAGCATATTCAACGTAGCACACTCATCAGCAACTTTGTTATGCTTTTATAACAAACTTTTTAGAAAAAGTGAGACAGTCATTTTTAAATCAACTAAACCAGGTCAAAAGACCACATGTTAAATTTGTCAGATTGTGTCACATGTAGTAAGAATTACTATTATCAATATTTATGGGTAATGATTTCTATTTAATATAAGCCTATTAAACTCTTTGATAATTTGCCTATGTATCAAATATTGAAGGGAAAAACTTAATTTATTTTTCACGTAGGATGGAAAAGTGAGCACTGAAAATTTCACTTAAGAGCAATGGAAAAAGTCAACACCCAAACAACACTATTTTATGAGTATCCCGGGTTTTAGTCTAAATATTGAATTATTTCTCCTCAAGTAATGTATAAGGCATCTACGCTGTAAATCATAAAATTAATGCTATTAGGAGTATATTCTGATAGTCGTTAAACACTCAAACAAATGAAAGTTATCCTTAACAAATAAATGATACTCACCTTATCCACAATGCATATCTGTGTTCTTGTCTGAGCGTCAAGTATTTCTATTTCGAAGTGAGTACTTTTTGAATGTTTGACTGCACGAGTTGACCTCAGAGGGCCTGCCGACAGTATGAGTTGAGACAAGGAGTGAAAATCTCTCTCATCACTCTTCAGGATGGACCGCGTAACTCCTTGGAAAAACAGTTGCCTCTTGCGTTCTGAAGCAAAGGATCTGTTCATTTTCAACAGCGTGCAAATGAGCAAGTGTGTTCCACCGTCACCAGTTAAATACTGCCTGCGGAGCCCACGGAGGTCAAGTGGCATGCCGTTCTCAGAGTTCGGTTTTATTTAGCAGGCTCACACACAATGATGGATCTTATTTCTATATATAAAACTTTATCATGGGGGATTTCTGATATTTAGACGATTCACACTCATTTAAACTATTTGCTGCATTCTCCCTTTATCTCAGCTTCTGCTTGTTAATATAAACATTCTTATCTGACATTCCAAAGCTGTGAAAGGGCAGGAGAGTGCTTTTTTTAATCTCTGAATTCTGGATATGCTGTTCATCCGTATCTAGACACATTTAACTTAAGCATATTCTTACCTAATAATCAATAATAAGAAGGAAAAGACCTAGGACGTGACACATGTTAAAATGTTCTCTAGGAACTCCATTGCGGTATAATGACTAAACGACAGCATGCAATGCTGAATTCAATATGAGTGCAGGTTTGTGTCCTAGCTGCTGTGCTTCCACCCAACTCTTTGCTAATGATCTGGGGAAAGCGAGTGGAAGAGAACACACGTGACAGGACCCCTCTTGTCCACAGGGGATACCTGGAAGGAGCACTTGTCTCTGAGCATCGACCTGCCCAGTTCTGCCGCTGCAACCATCTGGGTGTGAACTCATGCTTAGGATATCTCTATCTCTATTTTTGCTAAACTTTCTCTCTTGCTTTGACTTTCAAATAAATAGACTAATGTTTAAAAAAGGAAAAACAATCTCTCAAGTAAGTATTGATTGCATATGCATTTTCATATATGTATTTATATGTATATTTATTTAAAGAATCCTAAAACAAGAAATATTTTATCACTATTAATTCAACATTCAAGATACCTTAGTAATTGGACAATACAAAACAGTAAATTCTTCACCTCTTATAGGAAATAAAAATTGGGCAAACTTTGAGGGCATAACATGTAGAAAACAATGTGAAACTGCAAAAACATAATTTAAAGATTATTTAACATTTTAGTGTATTACATATTTTAGAAAAAGAGTTGAATTGGCTCCTAAAATTAGTGTTAAAGATTGTTTTCCTTTCACACTAAGCTATTAAAATACAAATAATCTTAGGAGGGAGAGTAAGGTGATCAGTAACCGAGAAAATGAGCTTTTCAGAGAAATTTCAGACTGAGATTTATACTCATGATGAAGAAATAGCTGGAAAAATAGCAAAATATTTTGCCACTGATTTAAAATGAAATTAAAGGAAAATTCTATAGTTACTGGGTTTCATACAAACCTGAAAAGAAAATTGATGACAATTTTACAAAGAAACACCCATATGGTCTTTAAGAAGCTACTCTTTATATCAATAAAGAAATGTTAATTTTGGGCCCGGCGCGGTGGCGCAGTGGTTAAGGTCCTCACCTTGCACGCCCGGGATCCCATATAGGCGCCAGTTCTATCCCAGCAGCCCCGCTTCCCTTCCAGCTCCCTGCCTGTGGCCTGGGAAGGCAGTCCAGGACGGCCCAAAGCTTTGGGACCCTGCACCCGCGTGGGAGACTTGAGCTCACTTGGGAGTGAATCATGGGATGGAAGATCTTCCTCTCTGTCTCTCCTCTCTGTATATCCGCCTTTTCAATGAAAAAATAATAAAAAAAATTTTAAAAAGAAATGTTAATTTTTATAAATTTATGAAGAAATCTAGAATGTATTTTCTTCACCTTTTGCACTCGAGATACATTTACACATGGCTCAGCTGCCATTTCCGTATTGTGAACTCTCATTATATTCCATTATTAGTATTGTTCCAAACTAAAATGTAGAGACGTATGTGTGCTTGTGTGTGTGTGTTTGTGTGTGTGTGTCTGTGTGTGACTGTGTGTGTCTGTGTGTGTCTGTGTTTGTGTGTGTGTTTGTGTATGTGTGTCTGTGTGTGTCTGTGTGTCTGTGTTTGTCTTTGTGTGTCTGTGTGAGGTGCAAGCAGTTGAGTGTGCATATCTGTTGTGAAACCCTAGCACCGAGCTGTTTAGAGCTCTCAGTATGGAATCATTTTTAATTTCCATTCTTCCTCATCCCACTCCGAAGCCATCACAATTCCAGAAGACAATTTGCTCACCATTCCTTCCCAAACATGGGTCCCGATTTTATAACCTTTTCAAATGCTCATCTCCCTGGCCCAGCATTACCTTACCTATATTTTTTTAATGGTGGATAGAATGATCTGTATTCAAGAATTTAATTATCACGAATTGAGACAAAGGATTGAAATTTTAGGATATCATTGCTCTTACCATTGTCTTTGATATCATTGGCAAAATGTATTTGCTATTTGCTTCTGTTTATACTCCAACTGAGATGTTACTTCTGCTTAGTCAATATAAAAATTAAGGAACTTGTTCTAAAGGAAACTTACACATAAAAATTCAGCATAAAGAACATATTTTTCATTTATTTTGCAGTACTACTAGCATACAATTGTCTATGTTATTAACATCTTGCATAATGTGGTATATTTTCTTTACAAGTGAAAGGTAGATTTGTATTTTTTTATTTTAAAGATTTATTTTTATTATTTTTTTTTATTGGAAAGGCGGATATACAGAGAGGAGAGACAGAGAGGAAGATCTTCCATCCGATGATTCACTCCCCAAGTGACCACAACTTCCGGTATTTGCCAATCCGGAGCCAGGATCCGGGATCTCCTCCAGGTCTCCCATACAGGTGTAGGGTCCCAAGGCTTTGGGTCATCCTTGACTGCTTTCCCAGGCCACAAGGAGGGAGCTGGATGGGAAGTCGGGTCACCGGGATTAAAACCGGCATTCATATGGGATCCCAGCATGTGCAAGGCAAAGCCCTTAACCATTACACTATCGCGCCAGGCCCAGGTTTGTATTTCTTTTTAAACAAAGAAATACTGATCTTGAAGGTCAGCCGTTCAATGCATACTTTTGAATTTTGACAAATGCACAATGCCTTACAGGCATCTTGGCAACTTTATACAGAAGTTTCAATTACCTAATTATGCCCCATGTTCTGTCTTCATCTCTCTGAGCCTCAGGGACTGACCCATATTTTTATTATCCTTGTTTCTTTGGTGTCCAGAATGACACTGGCTGATATAAAATGTTGTTTAGACTGCCTTCTTTTACTTTCCCAAGTATGTTTAAATCTCTGTGTTTCAGCAAATCCTGAGAACCTATTGAATGTTTCATTGCTGAATGAAACTCCATATAGCACATGGTTCATATAAATTTTATCCATTGCCTTGCTGAAGGATAAGTTGGCTATTACCATAAAGATTCACACGCAGTTTATCTAACTAAAATTGTCCATGTATTTGGGTAAGTGAGAAGCATTCTTACTGTTCCACACACTCACCACCGGTTGGAGTTGTCATCATTTTAAATTTTAGCCATTCTAAGCTTTTTGTCTTGGTTTGTCAGTCTTTTCACATGATATTACTTTAGGATTTGCAAGGCTGAGTATATTTTAATATGTATTTATGCCACTAATCTAGTTTCTATTCAATTAACAACATATTTTCTTTACAACTAACGCTTACGGAAAGTGCATGTGGAGACTGGGCAGCTGTAACTTTTATTTATTTGTTTATTTATTTATTTATTTTTAACATTTTGTTAGTGAATCAGAGTCCTTTGCTTATTAGTTCATTTTGTTTTTAATGGATACTACATGTGTTTCTCAAATCGCACTGTAGATTTACTAATAGTTTTTCAAATGTAAAACTAGCTGCATTCCTATCATTACATAAGTGTTTCTTAGATTCACCATGGGATAACAACACATGGATAACAACACAATTTTCTAGACATATTTTTCATCAACTGCTTAGTCAATTAATGGAATGTGTGATCATCTATAAAGGCGTAGAACATTTAATCGATGACTGTCTCATCAACTGGATCATAAATTTCCTAAAGCAGAGGTCAGCTCTAATCTCACCATCACTCTATATTTAAGGCAGAGTACAATTCCTGGCATGCCTCAACAGGACTTGATGAATGAATGAATCATCACCCGATTCAATTTTCCACTCAAGTTGAGAAACTTATTATTGACATCACCAAAGGATAGTAGCACAAGTTTAAGAGCGCATGAGGGCCTCATGATAAAAACAAAACAAACGAAACACACCTGCTTTTACTCTGTGCAAGGTGCCAGTCAAGTCGGTGTTGGAACATATTGAACCTTGGGCTGGGTGAATGAAGGACTGAGAAAAGACCAGATTCAAACTTAGTGTCGTAGATACTTTGTGCCAATGCTGAGATAAAAGATACTTTAGTAATAGGTAAAAGTAGATTCCATAAAATGAGGAATTAGTGGTCTACCAAGTGCTTTTGTTCGTGGATTTAGGAGACAGCATCATTTAATGGAGAAAGTCTTGTTCTTGATCATTCTGCGATCTTATACTTTGTTTTCTCTGTCAGAGTTTATAAAGTTAAGAAATTATAAGAATTTTTCCTAAATGATAAACAATTCATATAAAGCAAATAGAAAGTTTCTGAGAAAAACAGCAGAAAAATTTAACCTATGCATTCAATTAATTTATCAGTTTTGATATGAAAATAGTATCAATTGAACTGTTTTATTCCATAACACAGAACTATTCAAATAATTTCTTCTTGTTATCTTCCTAAACATGAGAGTTTAAATTATTACATAACAAGGAAAGTACCATTGATATATGAAATGGGCTCTGCAAATGTCTCCAGGAAAATAACTAAAAGGAAAACAGATGCTACTGCTCCAATGAAAATCAACCTTAATGTTTTTGTGCAATAGATCTGGATCATATCTGAAATAATTATCCATAGGAATTAATACAGAATTAATCTCTTATTATACACATTGGCTACCGCACTAGAAAATCAGGGTAGCTCTTATGTAGAAGCAAAAGCTTGAAAATTAACATCCAGAGGAAGAGATTCTTGTTGACTTCTGCCTTTGTGTGCTTTACTATGTTGGATAAGTTGACTAATATCCCTGAACATTAACTGGCTAGCTCATTAAAGGACAAGATTTCCAACTTG